TCTCATAGAGGGACCAAAAACGTTCACTTTTGATGGGCTACAACCCTGTGTTACAGGGTCAGAGTAAAGACGACAGCAAAGGAATGCTTTCTACTGCTCACTCCATCAGAAGTAATTTCTGACTCTAAACAAACCTGAAACATTTATAGCTTGAACTAAGTTCGCCACACTCAGAAGAAACAGGAGTATACACCATTCATTTCTTACTTTATCTTATCTGAAAAACAAAGAACTCCAGTTCTACTGGATGCAAAGAACATTGAATTGCCCCTAAAACTAGAAAAGAGAGCCACAGAGCTGCTTGCAAGTACAGGCAGCAGGCCAGAACCTCAGATAACCCTTGCAGACATGGGCAGGGGGATCACGAGCTGGTACCTAAGAGGTCTATTGGAGAGCCCGAGTGATGCTCAAGTTCAGAAATGTCCCACAGAACAACTGCACGTAGCCAAAGCACCCTGAAGAGTCCCACTCAACCAGCGGAGGAGGAATTGCACGCCACTGTCATCCATGCATGCATTTTCAAGAGCTGCTCATATATGTGTCAACACACGCCGTGGGCAGCACCGAGAGATGAGCTCAAGCGGAAAGCAGCAGCGCCAACTCACATCATGCACACAGGGTTCAAGAGCGGCTCCGTCTTAAGCACGGAGCACAGTCGGTATGTGCCACGAGAGCTGATGCTGCTGCAAACTTCCAGCTGCCTGATCTTCGCTCTGTCTTCTCAAAGCCATGATGTATTTTTAGGTAACAGCAAGTAAACCTTGCAAAGGACACAAACACAAAGCTAATAATTCTGTATGTGGTAAGCTTAAATGTCAAGTTACATTTATATATATTTTCACATACATACCAAACTTTTAACTAAGCCCAGCCTTTAATCTACTAGTGCTGTGTTTTGCAGAGCTTTCGTTTCATAGGAAAGATAGAATCTCTGACAGCAAAGTGATAAAGGCTTGATTTGGTTCAAGGCATGAAGCCTGCAAGCAAAATATTCCCCTTTTCATGATCGGCATCCTCTATCACTCCCTTGGCACCAGGCGTGCAGAAAGACCCCTTGCTCACAGCAGAAACTGTAAATTGCTATTAGTGGCAATAAGAGCTGAACACAAAGCGCTGTCATGAAGTTTCTCATTTACACTGTGAGGCAACTCAAACCATACATCGAGTACAGACCGCGTAAGAGTCCCTGGGGGGTTAATTTCAGATCTGTAGTTTTAGAAACCATCCTAAGCAAACCTAGCGTGTGCCATAAAGGGCATGAAAATGGTAGATGTTAAATGTAAGTGTGAAGGGCTGAGTATGCTACTAAAATTAATTGGAACAGAACTCCCTCCTAATCTCACCTAACCTAATAATTCATTAGCAACAAATACTATTAAATATGGGATCTCTCTCTTAGCTCCATTTGCTGTATAACTATGCATTTTGGACTTGCTCACCCAAATCAAACTCATCTTCACAGAGCAGAGAAGTCTCGCAACAATTTACATCGGGGCAAGTTATCGCTCATGAGCTACACAGCAGAATTACTTCCCTTTCTGGATTTTTCCCTCATTGTAACATTTTAATTAAAAAAAAAAAAAGACTCAGGTTTAAAATTGCAACTACTATACAAAGAAAACAAAAAGAATACATTTATACTTAAGGATTTTCTTGTCTATAAAATAAAATAAGAAGATACACACAATCTCAAACCTGCTGATCTAATTGAAGAGAAGGCAAGATGAGGCCCAGAGAGTCATGATTTGAAGGACAACCCATTTGAGGAAACAGCTCCATTTACAGAGACACAGCAAACAACAACAACAAAAAAAGAGAGATAAAATGAAAAGGAAAAACATGAAAAGACAAAAAAGCACAAAACTCATAAAGGTTCTTTTCAAGCATAAGGGATAAAGATGTCAGGCACTGGTTACAATTTGAAGAGTATAACATTTTCGATCCTTTAACGTGAGCACAGATTAGGAACAGAGCTGCTGAAAATGACTACTGTGAATTTGGACAGGTGTGGAAAGATCATCCTTTGTTTAAATCCTTTTAGAAGGGAGGACTCTTCTAACAAGAAAAAGTAAACTCACAACTCTGAATGACCAGAATACACTCAGTGAGCTGATGGCTTTTTAAAAGCTTCCTCGGATGCACAGAACGGGCAAAGAGAGCAAGGAAGGGAACAAGGTCCTCCTTTCAGGGATTTGGAAGATACGTCAAACCTACTGCCTGCAGACATCAGTAGAAGTATTACTAAGCTGGAGAGCGTAAATCCATAGACAATTATCCAGAGACACATAATAACAAAGGTATTAACAGCAAAAGCACCAGCTCATCTGTCAAGCACAGCCCCGAGCTGTCTAGGGGATGAGCTGCAGACACAGGCACTCTACAAATTCAAGGAAGATAAATTGTGTTCCTGATGCTCCACAAAAGGCACAGGAACAAGGCGTTTGAACAAGGCCAGGAAGCAATGAATCGTTTGCCTCATTTGGCTGCGACAACCCTATTTCTCAGACCCTCATATCTGACCAAAGCACAGGGATCGTTTTCTACGGGGCAGTCCAAACATCTGAGGTTCTGAGAAGGGGGAAAACCCCCCAAACTTTTCCTAACAAACACTGAGCAGTGTTTGTGTCACCTCATGACACAGCCTGAGCAGGCCAGAGGAAGCATGAGCCTTCCTGTTACACAGATAAGCAATCAAGCACTAGTGTATCAGGCTGAAGGGTGCAGCCATAAAATAAAGGGGTGTCTTGAGGTCACCCCCATGACAAGTGACCTGTGCTTTCCTACCATTAACCACAGCATGAGACCTTGGCACTCTGGAGGTTCACACGAAGCGCTTGAGAGGAAAAGGTGAAAGCAGCTGAATATCAGATTCCCAGTGCTGAGGAAGCTGCTGTCAGATTTCTGTTGAAGCAGATTAACAGCAAAGCCACATGCTGAGGAGCAAAACAGCTTCACTTCACACCCACTAGCCCTGCAAAACTTCCAGCAACTGCCAGCTTGCACCTGACAGCTCTGCGAAGGCTGCGCTGCCTCCACACGAATGGAAGTCTCCAACTGAACGTCTCAGACACGATAAAGCCCGTGTCCTGCACAGACTGCCACCAGATTAAAATGCCGCTTGGTAATGCAAGTCTTCACGATCCTGCTGCAAACACCTGGTTTTCACGGGACATTACAGTGGGACTGAGGGGTCTACACTCAGCTCCCTACTCCACTACACAGTCCTTTGGGTGACCCTGGACAAGCGACTTGGTCTTCATAAGAAAAGACAACTTATCACTTTGCTAAGGTAATGGGAATTGAAGTCTGCTAAACAACCAAAGGATGACATTTACTATCCCAACCCTGAAAACTCGGGGGCTTTTAAGTCCTGCTACACTGAAAAGCTGAAAGCAAATAAAATTAAATCACTTGGAAAACAAAACCATCAAACACCAGCCTTTAGGCATTCTGCTAACAAGCTTACCAAGGATTTGTCTAGAGGCATCCCTCCTATATTAGCAGCAAATCTATTGACAGGCATATGGTGTTAGGTTTATCTTGCTAATATAGATAACAGGAATGTGAAGAAATATGCATAGAGCAAAGACTACCAGTATCTTCATAACAAGTACTGGTGCCTTACGTTAACACAGGATGCACTGAGAGACCAAAGAACACATCTGGAAAAGTTTCACTGTCACAAACACCAGCCCCAGACTGGTTGGGGCACTTCCACAGCATGCTACCAGCTTAGCTGTTAACAGACACAGCAAATATGGGAAAAATAAAAAGGAGGGTGGCAGGAGAGGGAATTTGGGAGAGAGCCCAACCGTCAAAAAAATAAAAAAGAAAAAGCATTTATTTTGATGATCAGAGATCATCAAAGCGAACGGCAACCATCCTCAGCTGAGGAACTGCTGCTACCTTTGGGTGCGTTAAAGACCAGAGGTCATTTTAGATAAAACAAATCTTAGGGCACTTATTTCCAAAGTATCTAGAAGAGGCAACGTTGTAAAGAACACAATGCATTATGTCAGGCTCTCCCTTCCACTCATGGGAATGATGTCAGCTACCTGATATGGCTATAGCTTTCCATCTTTATTTTTCATCCTCAACAGAATAAAGAGAGCTGGTGCCCTTGTTCAGGAGGGAAGAGAGACAGAGAAAGCAGCAGACTACAAGAGGCAAATACTCAGGGATCCCTACAGTGGAGTGAAATGCCCAACAAAGCCTTGCAAGAGTCTATAAGCACCTCAGATAAATGCTCAAACGCTCAGTGCTGTCCTTGAAACACAGATGGATATTTGACTCACATCTTGGAAAGCGGTGACAAAGCCCAGCACACCACAAATGTCCTTAAACTCCCCCCAAGGAAGCTGCCACAGTCACATTAGCTTTCTTCATCACCAGCAAAAAAACTTCAATGACAGTCCTCAAGCTACTTGTAGAAAATTAGAAAATTCAAGAAGAGATCTCCAAACATTTCAGTCACAGGTTGAACAGGGAAGAACAATATACAAGATTTTTTCCCAAAGATTTCTAGCTTTTAATGAAATCAAAAGGCTCAGTATGATTTTGAATCAAGATTTAGACACATACATCCTACATCCTGATTGGGATCAGATCTAGAGAGATTCTAAACTGAATGGCATTCAGGCAGTAACAAGGCAAAGGCGGTATCTGGCCAAAAACTGATCCTGCCTACCTGAGTATCATTTTTTCCCTTCTTTGTTAAAGAGTAATTCACAGAAGGTTGGGTTATGCTGGGTTTTCCCCCCCCTACTCTAATGACTAAATAGCATCTCTTAAAATACTGAGATGTTAGTTCTCTTTTTTCCCCGCCATGGAAAATGAAAGCAAGAACAAAAAGATAACAAGAGCTAAACCTCTGTTTCTGCACCATGCCCATAAGGTTGCCACAAAAATATGCCAGCCAAAGCCACAGGCCCCCACCTCCCACTGGCCTGAGGTTGCAGCCCTCAGCAGCTGGAGAAGTAAAAGTGCTGAGTATTACTCACTGCCATGACGAGCTCAAAAGGATATTTGTAGACACGAACTGGGGACTGGTATTTCTGCACCATTTTTACCACACACCTGCAAGAGAAAGAAATCGGAACATTTCAGATCCCTTACACCAAAGGCCGCGAAACACTCTAGCAATTTTCAAACAGACCTTGTTAGAAGCCTTAACTCTTTCTCACCAAGAGAGGGGAGAAGACACATTAAGTAAAATATCTTGCCCAGCATCTCTTCGCAAGTCAGAGGCAGAGGCAGATCGAAAGGCAGGTCTCTGCAGACCCAGTTCAGTGCTGCGTCCTGCACGCCGTAGCGTCCTTTGCTTCTTCCCAACACCACTGCAGTAAGTTCAACTCGGAGCCCCAAGAAAATCCACGATAATTAAATGGCAAAACAGAAACATAAAGCCAGAGTCAATTGTACTCTGGAGAAGGAGTCTTGCAAAGCTTAAATGGTGATTCTTTTCCTTATCCCCCTTTTCTGCCTTACTTTGGCAACCGTTGCACAAAATCCCCTCCTTGTTGAAAGCTTCCACTGCTTCCCATACCTTAGTGGTTTAAACGTTTTTGTGCACAAAGTACCATTCAGTTGTTTTAATCCATTAAAAGAAAGGAAAAAGCAGCAGCACACTTAAAGAACATGCCTGGTGCTAAGCTAGCAGTCACATCCCACTGCCTGGATTCCCACTGCTTCCAGCTGAAATAAGGAAATAACTGCACGCAACAGCAACAATTCAGATCTCAGCATTTCGGTCCTCCTAACCACCTCTCACTGTTCTCATCAGGATTCCTCCCTCAGACTCTCTTGCCAGGGTTTTAACCCTCAAATATGCATCAGGAACCAGAACCTCAAAGAAGCCCATAAGCCAGTAAAGAAAGGTGACCAGGCTGCTTTCTGAAATTCCTGTAGGTTCCTTTAAGTTGCTCCTATTAATACCATCTATGAACATCACACAACACACTGGATGGCTGGTTTGAGACGCTGTGTTCATTCCACCCCACTCAAATTCCACGGGTAAGCAGACACAGCCCTTAGCTACACGATGCAGTGTAGTGCCGAATTCGACAGTCAGAGCATTAAAACAATTTATCCCTGACATTTTAAGTCCAAAAATGGAGGCAAAACATGAATTAAAAGGCAAATTCTCCCTCAGAGAGAGAGCTGCAAAATGCCGCTACACAGCAAAATCTTAGCAAGAGAGAGGGAAAAATAACTTTAAAAAAGTTTGAGTACCTGAGAACAGGAAGCGTTTGTAGAAGAAGCGTCTCGCAATCAGACAGTTATTCTGCAGAGGATCGCGCTACCCAAGGAGCAATGTTCCAAGACTTGTGGGGTCTCTAGGAGCCTTACCGGTAACTAAAAGTCAGCTCGCACAGAACGAGTAAATGCAGAGCGGATGCATCAGCAGAGCATCCAACTCAAGCTGAAGTGAGTGGAGCAGGGACAAGCAGGAAGCCCGGGCTGCTATCAAATATCAGATACCCGAGCCAAGAGGCACAGGGCACCTTGTAACGCAACGCTGTAATATGATTATGCAAGTGCGATACCTAGGCTGCGCGGAAACCTTCCAAGGATGCGCAAATATAGCATTAGAAGCCTCGTCACACGTATTTAGCTGTAATCTTGCACCCTGTCCTGACCTCACCTGCTAAACCCTGAGCTCCTGCATCTCTGCAGGAGCGGGTTGGGGACCTCTGCAGAAGGAAGTCACAGAACAGTCCAGTCAGCCTAGAATCACCCAGATTCAGCAACAACAGAACAACAGGATGGCAGAAGCTGTAGTTCAGCAGTCTTACCCATGCTCCTTTGGACAGATCTGTTGCTCCCTGGCAGCTGCAATACCTGACTGCCACAGGTTCACTGCCCTGTACTTCTCTAGCTTAGAGAAGCTGGAGACAAGGAGACAGTGACTATTATATCCATTGGAAGCTGTGGAAGAAAGACAGTTGATAACACACCTGTCCTGGAAATCTTTCATACCTTGGGGAAAGTGCAGCAGCAGACCTTCTATGCCCTCTTCTCAAAACAGAGCTGTGAGATAGTCATTCTGCTTCTCAAAGCAAGAGGGACTCCAGCTATAACTCCTAAGAAAAATTATATATAGAAAAAAAAAAATCAGAAAGGCAGAGAAATTAGCTACTCAGTGCACAGAGATACAGATGGATTATTAGCACTGTTAATGAGCTAAGTTTCTCAGGTGTTACCAGAGGGCAGCTGGGCCATATTAGCTGAAGACATGCACCCTCACAGGGCTTTAGAGCTCAAGAGACAAGCAAGCTTTTAAAGTTCTCATGTACTCCACATAGATTATAAATGGCTATGTTCAACCACCTTATAAAGAAAACCCGGAAGAAACTACACAACCGCAGAACATGCTTACACCTTAATACCCACCACACCGCTCCAGCCTCTACAATGGCCCAAGCTACCTGCTCCAATTTGTATTTGCATCTGGCTAAAAGCATGTAAGAGGAAACACAGCGCATCTGAAGAGTCGTGATTCACTAATCTGCAGCTTGACCACTTACAAACCCCAGATCAACAGCTAGAGTCGGACCTGTCGCCATTCACTAGGTAACAATAGGGAAGAGTGTGGCTTCAGCTGGCCAAGCCCAGTGCAGTTTCTAAAAATTCAGCAAGGCTGGAGCTCTCAATGCATTGAAACACCTTCTCTAGCTAATGATCACTTCAACTGTCCCAGTTTGCTACTAGAAGCGAATCATTGCACACCTGAACACAGAAAACAGGTGGCAGCTACCGCGTTTCCCAAGGCATCCCGTGACACGCTGATAGTAGTGCCAATGGCACAGAGCCTCAACAGTCGCCAGCTCCCTGCGGAGGCCAGCTGGCCCATGGACCCCCTCTCGCTACATCCCACACAGCAACTCACAGGCAAACGCAACCCTAGAAGGCAGGGAGTTCATTATAAGCTTAAGATACACCAGCTGGCACCATACCAGGGAAGGAAGGGCACAAGAAGGGTACAAACCCCTGACAGCACCTGCGTTTCCCTGCTGGAACTTTGGTAGCGTTTCAGGGAAATGGCGAATTCTTAAGGAGAAGCGGTGCACAGGCAGCACGCAAAGCTACCGTCACTTATTAGCCGAGCTTGAAGACTGCGAGGGCTCCCGTGAGGGATACACGTCACCAGGCACACAGCAAAGGGAAGAGAGGCGGCGATTTTTATGTTTCCATTTTACTTCGAGTCATCCACTGGGTACCTGAGGGATTTCCCATATGCTTAACTTATTCTACTATTTGTAGGCTTACTTGACAGAACACAGCCAGATGGTTGGAAACCAGAAAGAGAGTTTATATATTAAACATATATAACCCCCTGAATCAAAGTCCCCAGCCCCTGCTTCTCACCCAAGCAGGCTGGCATGAACTCGTTTGCCTCTTTGCACGTTAGAGCTGCCTGTTGGGTGGTGAAACTCAGCAGCTATTACTTTACTAGCTTCTCCCACCTATGATGGCTTTTTTTCAGCAGGCAGAGAACCGAACATTTTTTTTTTTGCTTTGTTTTTGACAAAGAACTGCTGAAAACAGCAGAATTCCAGACTTCCTCAAATACTATTACAACACATGAAAGCCAGCTGCGACACCCAGCTAGGCTGATACTTCCAGTTAGAAAAAGAGAGCTCCTTGGGGCTGTAGTCTTTTTGACACAATAGCTGACACTTTACACATTAGATGGCATCAAGTTGTAGGATGCTTATTAGAGCTCTTTCACACAATATCTTGAGAACAAGCCTTTCTGTAGCTTGACATAAGGAAATGTCAAAGTGGAACAGTGCCAACAACAGTGCCTTTGCTATCTTTTAGAACTAGCCACTTCCTCAGGCAGGACTTCACCTTACCCCCTTGAGAAACACTCATGGTGCAGGGGTGAAGCAGCCCAGAGGGCCATGAGCCAGCACACTCCTGTGGAGCCCAGCTGCCACTCCAAACACCCTGCAGAGATGCCTGGAGTCCTGCTGCAGATCATAATCCAAAGACAAGGAACAGGAACATTCAAAGAACAACATTCACACATTCTTTACAACATAGTAAGGAACAGTCTCTTTGGCTGAAAGATGGAGAAAAGGGAACAGCATACAGTACTCTGCTCTCAAAGCCTTGTCAAGTTAGTGGTTTCTCCCATGTATGTATCAAAACAAGATGCAGGCCCATTACTTTCACATCTTCCTCTTCTAAGTAAGTTGGCTTTCTCACAAAAGAACCACCACTGACCTTTTATGCCCAGCCACAGACTAAAACTCTGGCGTTTACTAACCTGCAAGAGCAAATAAGCTTTCCTGAAGAAAACTCCCTCATTTCTCACCTTGCTCCTCCATAGGAAGTCACTTTAGGCCATTTCATCGACCAGCACCACAGTCAATAGCTCAATACTCAAGTTCAGTTGAAGAATGAAGACACACTCTGGGGTAAAGTGCAAAACAAGAGTAGATCCAGTCAGCGGGACACCTGATGGCACAACAAAGCGCCAGCACAAAACCGATCCACCTCACCCCGAGTTAAGTTCACAGGCATATTTTCTCTGAATACAGGTATGCTGCACGCAGGTGCGCGCATCAGCCCAAGCAGGTGCCATCAGCACAACCCGTCTCTCTATTTTACTACTCGGAGGAGTTAAGCCAAGTGACCCAGAGAGCACATGCTTGGTTTAACCCTGCCCTAAAGCCAGGCGTGGACATTTTCTATAGCGGCTGACCCAAATACATCAATACATTTCGTACCAACTTACCAGGGTCAGCCTTTGAGTTTGCAAGTACTTCAGGAACTTGTAGGTTTTGGGTTTTTTTTAAATTTAAGACCCAGGGGAGCACCAGGCTCTGGGCAGGGACACCAGGGACACCACAGCCAAGGTCCCGCTCGCTGCTCCCAGCCTCCGGCGAGAGAAGGAGATCCCAAGCCCACCCAAACTTCCTCTAAACAGGGCAGAAAAAACAACTTTACAACCGTTTATCTCCTC